GAGTTGAAGTCCACAAGTCTTAAAGTTGCCAAGGTTGGACACCCCTGGCTTAAATAATCACTTGCAGCAATAAACAACGTCACTTGCAGCAATAAACAATGCACGTTGCCTCCGGAATACCCTAGCAACAATGTCGGATAAGTTCAAATATTTCCCACAAGTCTAAAACATTCCTAAGTACACCTTGAAGCAACCTCAAAATGGCTTACAAATCATATGAAGATCAGGATAAAAATATTAGCTAGCAAGGGTAGAACAAGCCAGTTTAGTGTAGTTGGTTTAGGCATCAGGTTAGAAACTGGAAGACTGAATTCTAGTCTCTCCAACCTTAGGGACAAAGCCAACTGGGTGACCTTGGGCCAGTCATTCTTTCTCAGCCCTAGGAAGGAGGCAATGGAAAACCACTTCTGGAAAAACCTTGACCAGAAAACTGCAGGGACATGTCCAAGCAGTTGCTAAAAATCAGCACTGACTCAAAGGCATGCCTGCACACACACAACGATAGAGCAGCCAAGAAACTTAAACAAAATGTATGGATGGTTTTGGTATAAAGAAGAGGCTTAAGGCACAAACCTGACCAGAAGCCTTGAGTCAAAAGAGATTTTGGAACAACAGACACCTTTCCTAGATGCTTCACAACATTGTTTCCTGCATCTTTTGAACATGTCATGGTTGTCGGAGACAATTTGATGCATTTTATATACCGTAAAAATATTCCTCCTACAATGGAGGAATGCAAAGAAAACAAAAGAACACCCAGTTGCCTTTTGAAAAAGCATCTTAGGGACAACCATGACCTGGATGACTGAGAATCTCCCACAGACACTCCTACAATGGATTTATAATCAAAATTGGAAAGTGACGCAAATTATATTTATCTTGAAGAATTTATATCAACCCACAAAAGGGAGTATATAGGTAGTCCTTGACTTGCACCATAATTGAGACCACGTTTCTGTTTCTATGCGAGACTCTTGTTAAATCAGTTTTACCCCATTTTATGAACTTTTTTGTCACAGTTGTTAAGTGAAACAATGCAGTTGTTAGTAACAGGCCGGTTAAGTGAATCTGGCATCCCCATTGACTTTGCTTTTTTTGTCAGAAGATTACAAAAGGGGATTATATGACCCTGGGACACTGCAACCATCAGAAACATTAACCAATTGCCAAGTATCTGAATTTTTATCACGGGGATGCTTTAATAGTTATAAATGTCATAAGCCACATTTTTCAGCGCATTTCAACAGTCACTAAACAAATGGTCATAACTCAAGGATTATCTGCACTTTTATTTATTACACCCACAGAACTAGTTTTAAATATTATTTTTTATTTCCATTTCTTTACTTGAAAATGTTTTAGCTTCAAGAATTAACCCTATGATCTCGGTTATATTCAGATTTCATAGAAAAAAAATGTTCAGTCAGTTCTTCGTTGGTGGCATTTTAATACTTTTTTGACACAATATGATGTTTGTTTATATTAAATAACAAACAACACCACTCTTTGAATTCAGTAAAATTATACTAATCTACAGGTAGATGCATATAAAGGCTTATATTGGTGGGTCAGTTATTGCTTATATATCTGTAAAAAGGAAAAATAGAAATCTGTTTAAAGATGTTTGCTGGTACATGCAAGTAAACCCAGTCAATTTTATTCATTAATATATGTTCTGGATCTTAGACTAGATTGAATTCTGCTATAATACCTTTGTATGTGTAAAACATTTTTGATATGGTTTACATTAAATTTGTAAAGCAAATTATATATGTATATGGTTGTCAGATTTTATTAAATGGATTGCAATTTGCTATTTGTAGCCTGAAGAAGAGTAATAACAACTTGGTTAGTTTCTGGAATATTTGAGTTAAAGCAAGGCAACAGGTGGGCTTGTTCACTTTCCTTGCTGGTTTTTTATTTAATGATCAAACCATCAGGACTTTGTGTTAGGCAACCTCATGTTATTAGATACGTTACATGGATTCTGAGTATGGATTATTTCTACATGCTGATGACATTTTTGGCAACATCAGATAATTATTTCATTGCCTAACTTGATACAGATAATTCAACAATTTGTTAAATATTCAGGTTATAAATTCATTGGAAAAATCAATTTAGTTTCTTTGATATATGATAGTTCACTGCAAGAGGTTGGCCTTTGCATTCTGTACAGAATATATTAAATAATTAGGATCACATATTGCAAAAACATTTCAAAACATATGGAAAGTAATATGGTTAATGTTACAGATAAGATTGCTATGGATATTAATAGATGGATTAAAATTCCATCAAGCTGGTGGGCCAAGATTAAGGTTATTAAAATAAATATTGCTCCAAGGATTTATGTTTTAAGAGACATTTCAATGTTAATTAATTTTTGAAGGAAAAATTAAATAGAAATGGGTTCTGTGATGCACTGCTTCTTTCTGTTGGCACTGGAATGGCCACTGTTTTGAAGAGAAAGGAAAAAGGCACTTTGGTAGTTAAATTGGATTGCTTTTTGCAAGAATTCACTATGAGAAATATAATTTCAGAGTAATTAATTACTTTTTGGTTATATAGTTGCATTGATCTTAGTTGCAAGAAGGTGGACGTTCAACCAAAGAAAAGATTCTACTGGTGGACTTCCCATTACTATCTTTTAATAATTTTATTAAAATTAGCAACACAGACATCTCATTGGTCTGGAATGGCTTGAGAACTCACCTGGTGGGCCAGCCAGTTAGTTGGTATTTCTGGTCGTTCTCGACCATACAGCACAACGTCCCTCATAACTTCCATACAGGGTTGCTCTCGGACCTTTGATCCAAAGGGTGGTTCATAATTCTTCACCTCTACAATAATGGAAGAAATCACAAATATGGCGTTGCTGTAAATGAGATACAGGGAGGAAAAGCCCTACATGCTTATTTCCTATGTGCTTATTGGTTCAATGTTCAGATGCTACCAAGGGGCTGCAGATAAATCAACCAATAAATATCTGAGCTCTGCCCTTTGCATAGCTGGATCCATGTCCCTGCTGGTTTCTTCGTATAACCGGGTAGAATATGTGCAGCTGGGTTCAGGAGGCGATGATTTGTTCTCTGAGGAAGAGTCTTGTACCTGCTTCTCAGGAAAAGGAGGTGTGAGGTGAATCTCCCCTGGAGATTCCATGTCTTGATAGCGCCATATTTGACAAGTTTATTCTTCTCCGAAATTTCCTCTTTTAGAGGAGGGTTGTGGAGAAAATGGCAGGCACTCTATGAACAGAATAGCGGAGTTGGGAGGGACCTTGGAGGTCTTCTAGTCCAACCCGCAGCTCACGCAGAAAAGCCTGAGAGCTGATTGCGCCTGAAAAACAAACATCACTCGCACCTCACAGACAACAATCTTGCATGAAGACGAAGGTGAGATCTTACAGCCCTGATGGGCAGACACTGTGCACTGAGGTACAAACATCGATAGATAAGATAGATATTTTCATTGGCTATTATTTTGCAAATATACTGTGTATTTTGCATTGTTCAGTACAGCAGTCCTTTTTTTATTCAGGTTGAGAATTGACTGCACCCAGTACATGTGTTCAAAATGTTTTTGTTGCTGGGTGGGAGTGGCTGGGTGGGAATGATGTCGAATTGGCCACAACCATCTAGGCGTGGCCAAGGGGAGTCATGTGACTGGGTGGGAGTATCATTGAGTTGTCCACGCCCACCCAAGTTTTGTGGCTCCCAGTGTTTTGTTTTCTGTGGGAAACGGGCCCAAGTGGCTCTTTGAGTGTTTCAGGTTGCAGACCAGACGTGGTATTCAGCAGGTTCTGACCAGTTCTGCAGAACCGGTAGTGGAAATTTTGAGTAGTTCGGAGAACCGGCAAATACCACTTCTGACTGGCCCCGCCCCCATCTATTCTCTGCCTCCTGAGTCCCAGCTGATCGGCTGGGTCTTCTTTTGTTGTCCTTCACAGGAGAACAGAGCTGGAAAGCAGGTTAATGGGTTGTGGAGGGAATGGAGATTTTACAGTATCCTTCCCCTGCCACGCCCACAGAAGCAGTAGTAAAAAAATTTGAATCCCACCACTGGACCAAACTTTTCAGCCCAAGACTTGGGGCCACAATCCAGAGGTCCCCTAATCCAAAACAGGCAACAGTCCTTTGGTGAATACAGTACAGGACGTTCGTCTTTCTCTCAATTGTTCTGAATTGTCTAGGTCTCCCTTAATTGGGACTGAGGCCTAATTATGGCACAGAAACAAAATTAGTCACTTTAGTAGATGTCCTTCATCAGGACCTAGATGGTAGGAATACATCCTTCTCAGTAGACCTTTTAGCAGCTTTCGCTGTCATCTCCCATGGTATCTGTGCTGTCCAGACAGTTTAGAGTTAATGGGATTTGGGATAGTTAGTTAGGAATTGTGAACTATCCCCTTAAGGGAATGCATCATGGTAAATGTAGTTAAGGTATCCTGGGAAATGTAGTCCATGTCATGTGGTCACATCTGTAATCCTGATTGGTCACTAAATTGACCTTTGTTGGGTTGGGGGAGGCTTCCTCACTCTTGCCTGAATCTATTACCATGCGGCTGCTTCAATCATCATGGGGTTGAGACCTTATTATCTTTCTATACCACAATTCAGATATGCAAAGGATTGGACATTAAGAAGAACCTCGTCATAAATGTGAGTTGACAGGATGCCTGATGAACCAATAAAAAGACTTTTCATGGATGCTTTGTGGAGTTGATCTGTCTGCTTTATGCCATCCAAATATTAATAAGCAGAACAGTATCCTTCTGGACCACCTGCAAGGATGGAGAATAAGAGGCACCATCTTGTAGTGTTTCCATTTCTACAGTTTTTGGAATAGTCATGGGAGATAAATAGTGGAGTCTTTGACCACAGACCAATGAACATGGTCTTTTTTCCTGTATTATTTAACATATACTGTATATGATAACTGCTGCGTGAAGTATAATCTGCTGTTGATGGTTGATTCACAGACTGATAAGGATTCAGGAATTTTTGATAAACAACCTGCTCCTTTATCATGGAAATAAACTGCATCAGTGGTGGGATTCAAATTTTTTTACTACCGGTTCTGTGGTTGTGGCTTTGTGGGCGTGGTGTGGCTTAGTGGGCGTGGCTTGGTGGGCATGGCAGGAGAAGGATACTGTAAAATCCCCATTCTCTCCCCACCCCACTAACCTGCTTTCCAGCTCCATTTTCCTGTGCAGGGCAACAAAAGAAGACCCAGCCAATCAGCTGGAACTCGGGAGGCAGAGAATAGATGGGAATGGGGCCAATCAAAGGTGGTATTCCAAACTACTCAAAATTTCCGCTACTGGTTCTCCAGAACTGGTCAGAACCTGCTGAATACTACCTCTGAACTGCGTATCACCATTTCATAGGAACATCCTTAGAAACAAACTCAAAATATCTCTATCCAAATCTATTTTCTAATTCTCAAAATTTGATTCTAATTTGGAAATAGTTCAGTGGCTGAAATTCATCTAATAATCCTATCCATTACATCTCAATAAATCTTGCTGAAGAAGGGAAATCTTGCTTGGAACAGTTACTTGTGATTTAGACAGCTGCCAACGAGCAAAAAAAAGGCATTTGATTGTAAATCAGCAGGATACAGCAGCACTTTGAACTGGTGAAGCTAGAAGTCTTGAACTACAGTCTGCAGTCTACCTTCCTTTCTTTTTTCTTTCTCTACCTTCCTTCCCTCCCTTTTCTTCCTTCCTTCCTTCCTTTCTCAATCCTAAGCATTTTAGAAATTAGTAAGAGAGTACTATTGTTCCTACAAAATAATTTTTATTCATTCACTTCTGTTGAGATTATCATTGAAACAATATATATCATTTAGTATCATTTGATTCTCTTGACTATTTTCTCCAAGTCTAATGAGTCTTGAGACTAATGTATGTCAGCGAAGATGATTCTGAGCTCTGCTAAAGTGGAGAACAATTTTAATATACCGTATTTGCCGGCGTATAAGACGACTTTTTTGCCCTGAAAAACATGCCTCCAAGTGGGGGGGGTCGTCTTATACGCCGGGAGGACTCCGACTCCCACTTCGAGCTTGAGTTGCAGCCGGGAGGGAGGCTGGGGGGGGAGCGGTGTGTGTGTGTGTGTGTGTGTGGCGGGTGTCACTCGCCACGCGCTGCGCAACCTTTCCCCCTCTTCCTTCCTTAGCGGTGTGGGGAGGAGAGGATTCGAAGATCCTCACGTGTGGCGTACTTTTCTTTTTCTTTTTTTTCTTTTTGCACGCAGGTTTTGCATGCGGGCGGCTGTAGGTTAAGGATGGGGGAGCCCCCGGGTGGGTTATCAGGTTTTACGGTGCTTCCAACATGTGCGAACGGTGGGAGAGCGGAGAAGAGAGCGAGCGAGCGCCCCGCTGTGTGAAATCTTGCCGTCAAAGCAACACTGGGGGAGGCATGGTATAAATTTACCAGGTTAATGTAGCAATGGTGATTAATGCCCAGAACATTGTTTGCGGGTATTGGGGTGTGTGTGTGTGTGGTGGTGGTGAGGAGAGGTTGTCCTTTGAATGCGGAAAAGTAGGTGTGACCTTGTGTAGGAAAATAAAGAGATCCTTTTTAGCGTGTTTGGCTTCTTTGCCTCCCCTCGTTCGTTTTGACGTGGAGATAATGGCCTTCGGGCGGGAGGGGAAGAAAACGGTAGCTGGATCATTTCAAATTTCACTTACTCTCCTGCCTCACTTCAATATGTCTGAGCGACTCCAGATACTGGAAGACTTTTTGAATGAAAGTGTTACCTCCATTTTTTTTTTTAAAGAGGGCCACTTGGGGAAAAAAAAAGATTCTAAGGAATTCCTTGTTTCTTGATTAAAGAGAAGGCATTTTCAGTGTCCGGGTTTTTGCTGTGTGTGTGTGTGTGTGTGTGTGTGTGTGTGTGTGTGAGAGAGAGAGAGAGAGAGAGAGAGAGAGAGAGAGAGAGAGAGATCAGCTGTATTGAGAAGAGAACGTTTCCTGTGTTCTCATTTTATTTACAACATATTTTACGCTTAATGGTAAGCAATGAAAAATATTTTTAAAACTCATTTCTAAACTCCATAGCTATTTGCATATTCTTGGTTCAAAATTGGATTAGCTCATTTCAAAATTGTCCAAAGCAGAAAAGTGCGTCAAAAAAAAAAAGTGCAAAAGTGGAAGGTGTGTGGAAGAGGGGGTAGTCTTATACGGCGAGTATATAACAAACTCTATATTTTGAGTGGAAATGTTGGGGGGTCGTCTTATACGCCCAGTCGTCTTATACGCCCAGTCGTCTTATACGCCGGCAAATACGGTAATTTAATGATAACAATTATTTTGTAGCGGGCAAGTAGTGCAATCCCGTGTGAATTTTATGAAACTGCATTGCAATGAGCCAAATCACTCAGTCATTACTCTAATGTTGATATGATGGTTCTTGGATATAGGTGACTTTTCAATTTAATGACCAGATTTCTTCTCTACTGGTTCTGGAATGCCTTCCATTTCAGGAATGCATTTTCCCATGTCCTCTGGCCAGTACTTGCTGGAATATCCAGATGGAAACAATATTGCAACAATCATTTGACATTTAGAGGTGATTCGCTCCCCTCCTTTGGTCCAGAAAAAGACAATTGAGACATGTTGATTGCCTTACCTCCTATAGCATCACACCTGGAGGCTATCTCCCATAAAACCAGAGCCATAGAATAGACATCCATTTGTTTAAAGGATTCCAGATCTTCAAGGTTCACTCTGGATTCCAAAACCTCAGGAGCCATGTATCTGGCAGTACCCACCTAATGATAACCACATACAGATTAAAACAGGTACACTTGTGTAAATGTGAGAGATAAATCATGTCAATTTAAAGGCAACACAAAAAGCTATGACTGATCCATCCCATCCCATGTCTTGTCGTAGGCTTTGGATACAAAATAAAAGAAATACATTTTTAAATCATTGTCATAAAATACAGAACATCTCCAATCTTCAGAATTTTGCCCAAGGAATATGTTAATCATTTATGTTGAAATTAGTAGTGAATATGCAAAAAAAAAATATCCTCGGGAAATACTCATTTGTACTCATGATGGTTTGATAAATGCTGCTCCATACCTTTGCTGCTTTTTCCAAAAGACAGAAAAAGAAGGAAGTTCTGGAAAATAGCTTGGTTTTAGTCTGAGATTCTAACCAACTGATCAACAGAGATGATTCTGAACCAATACTGAATAAAGAAGGTGTGTGCGCGCTCTGTGTGTGTGTGTGTGTGTGTGTGCTGTGTATGCATCAGAAAACAATCCATGCCATCTGTAAACATTACTAGCCACCATGTTACTGTTATGGGGTAGAGCCAGATCCAAAATAAGGAAATGATAACTGACTTAACTGTTCATAATGAATGCAGGGACAAAGTGGCACGTCTGATCTAAAGGGTTACTGGTACAGGTACAACTTTCATTGGATTGATTTCAAGCAAGGGAAATTGTAAATAAGAAAACTCCTGCATGCACCATGTTAAAATTTTAATACTGTATGCCATATCTTCATGCCGACATGAACCTTTGCACAGGAGAACACAAAACATGGAGAGTCCTATATATGTGTGTTTCCATGCAACATGGAACATGTTCCTGATCAGAAGGAAGCATACACAGGATTTCATTTCTCTTTACATTCCAGGAGAAGAAACAAGCGGGGTGGAAAAATGCAAGAAATTATGTGGGTGTGGGTGACGGCAATGGTGTGTTGGAGACTGTCCTCTTTGCTTGAGTCAACAAGTTCTCCACAAGCAAAATAACCTACTAGTTTTGATCTACAGTGCTCACCTGTCCACTATTGGCAAAATCTCCCACGCTTAAAGATGGATCCAGCCTCAGAGCAATTCCGAAATCACAGAGCACGCATTCTTGATGGTTCTTAATGAGAACATTCGTGCTTTTGATATCCCGGTGGGCAATGGGGATTTTGGGACTGCCACCGGCAGTGTAGTCACTGTGCAAGTGGGTCACGCCACTCACGAGGGAACCTGCCATCTTTTGCAGGTCTCTCCAGCTGAGGATATTCCTGGACAAGTAATCCTTAAGGTTGCCTTGGCTGTGATAGGCAGTGATCAGCCAATATTCTTTCTGAAGCCCAGAGTGTCTTTCCTCCGCGGAAAGGAACCGAAGGATGCTGCAGTGCTTCAGGTTGGCATCGGTGAAGATCTGGCTTTCATTTTTCCAGGATGCAAATTCCTCACAAGGGAAAATCTTCACGGCCACCATCTCATACTTGCCCGAAGATGTGTGCTTTAGTTTGGCTTTCCAAACTTCCGCAAATTGCCCTTTCCCCACTCTTTCTTCCAACTCAACTGGCAGGAGTTCGTTGATATGGTTGAGGTTGCCGGCACGGAGAGCAGAATGATGATCTATTTTGACGGACAGGATCTCATCGTAAGTGGTGGCTCTGCTGGATTCAGGCCGCTCACGGCATGGAGCGTGTTTCTGGGCCCACTCCTTGGCCAGCCTCTTCTGCCGATGGGTTCGGCAGAGATAGAATATCACAGTGATCATGATAGCCACCAACAGCGGGGGTAGAAGGCTGATGGCTGCCACAGGGATGATTTCCTTGCTATGTAGCATGGAGTATCCTACAGGGAAAAGAAAAGGCAGAGATTACCAAGAATGTTTCCACATATGCAAAGCAATTACTTTGAACAGCTGTCCCAGGGACCCGTAGCATGTTAGGGACCAAACCAGAGGTGGTATTCAGCAGGTTCGGAACAGCTCTGGAGAACCAGTAGCAGAAATTTTGAGTATTTTGGAGAACCGGCAAATACCACCTCTGACTGGCCCCGCCCCCATCTATTCTCTGCCTCCTGAGTCCCAGCTGATCGGCTGGGTCTTCTTTTGTTGCCCTGCACAGGAGAACAGAGCTGGAAAGCAGGTTAGTGGGGTGGGGAGGGAATGGAGATTTTGCAGTAACCTTCCCCCAGGAGTGGGAGGGAATGGAGATGTTACAGTATCCTTCCCCTGCCACGCCCACCAAGCCACGCCATACCCAAGCCACACCCACAGAACTGGTAGTAAAAAAATTTGAATCCCACCACTGGACCAAACTTTTCAGCCCAAAACTTGGGGCCACAATCCAGAGGTCCCCTAATTTTAGCATCCAATACAGGCAACAGTCCTTTGGTGAATAAAGTACAGGAAGTTCATCTTTCTCTCGGTTGTTCCGGTGACATCAGGGAAAGGTTGCTCCTCCCCCAGTAATGCACAGTGGTCTGGAGGAGGAGCCTTTCTTTGCCTATGCCTGCTTCCACAACAGGAAAGGGTTCCTGGGTTCCTGCTCACATGGCGGCAGAAGATTTCGGAAGGACTCTAAGGCTCCCCATCATTCTTAACTAGCAACCTCTTCAGTCATGTCTTCAGCATGAGACGAAGAGGAGAGGGGCTGCTTGCTCCTCCTCTATATCACCTGTATCACTTCCCTATATTACTAAAGGAGAGGCTGTATAATATTTTCCCTTTTATGCTTGTTCTTGTTTTATTTTTTTAAAAAAGATTACAGCTAGTTCTCAACTTATGACCACAACCCGAGCCCAAAATTTCCATCACTAAGCCAGATAGTTGTTAAGTGGGTTCCCCCGCTGCGCCATTTGATTACCTTTCTTGCCACCGTTGTTAAGTGAATCACTGCAGTTGTTAAATTAGCAACCCAATTGGAAAGTGAACCTGGCTTCCCCATTGAGTTTGTTGTCAGAAGGTTACAAGAGGTGATCACATGACCCTGGGACACCGCAGCCATCATAAATATGTGCCAGTTGCCAAATGCCTGAATTTTGATCACGTGAACACCGGGGAGACTGCAACGGGCGTAAATGTGAAAAATGATCATACGTCACCCTTTTCAGTGGCATTGTAACTTGGAACAGTCACTAAACAAATGGTTGTAAGTCGAGCACTATCTATATAGTATTCTTATCTCTCATTCCCCAATTATAACAAGGCCGTTGTCAGCCTTCCAAATCACACACCCATTGAGGCAGGTAGATTCCTCAAAGAACAACTTTATTGGATAGATCATGTCAGCACAGACGGTGAAAACCAACTCTAACATTTCCCCTGGTTTTCCCCTAATTAAAAGAGTTAAATCCCCCCTCCCAGGTGTCAAAGAGGGACGCGGTGGTTCGGTGGCTAAGACGCTGAGCTTGTCGATCAGAAAGGTCAGCAGTTTGGTAGTTCGAATACCTAGCACCACGTAACAGAGTGACCTCCCATTACTTGTCCCAGCTTCTGCCAACCTAGCAGTTTGAAAACATGTAAAATAATGCAAGTAGAAAAATAGGGACCACGTTGGTGGGAAGGTAACAGCGTTCCGTGCACCTTCAGCATTTAGTCATGCCAGCCACATAACCACGGAGACGTCTTCGGACAACTCTGGCTCTTTGGCTTTGTAACAGAGATGAGCACCGCCCCCTAGAGGCGGAAACGACTAGCACGTATGTGCGAGGGGAACCTTTACCTTACCCAGGTGTCACCAGTCACATTGTCCAATTAGGATGGATGACAGGCACGTCTCCTCCTCCAATAGTCACCTGTTACAATGACCTTGGTTCCCACAGGAAACCTTTTTGTTTTGACTGCTAGCTATCTACTTCCCCCCTCCCTTCCCCCTCTCAGGCTTAGTGGCAACTTTGAGGCAGCACAAGATGGCCTCAGCCAGGTTCGCTTCAGAGTTGACAGCACTAGCAGGCACCGGCCCCTTTCCTCCTCTTTTATTTCACCTTTAACAGAGGTGAGGATGCTACAGCAGTGACATCTGGATTTTCCAGAGGTCTTCCAGGCAGCCTTCTGAGAAGGCATTTTGAAGTTTTTTCAGGACATCAAAATGCTGACTTGGATAGCCACTCCATTGTATACTGCACCTCCTGGGCGTTGTTGCCCATATTAGAAAGTTATCTCTCAGCTAGCAGGAAAGGCAGCGCAGGGCTGTTCCCAGCTCCCTTCCTGCTGCTTAAGCTCTCTGCTCTGTTTGACCTTGTGTCCTCTAAAGCAGGGGTGAGCAATTAATTTTCCCAAGGGGTCACAAAAGAAACGAGGATTATTGTGGAGGGCTGAAATAATAGGGTTGCGAAGGTGCGTGTACACATACACACACACACACATATATTGCGGGGGGAAGTTGCCTTGAAAATAAAAGCAATGCAGTTGTGTATATGGCATTCACTTATTCACATTTGATTTCTAACTTCTGATCTCATGTAGGCGGGACAGAATGGAAACTATTCTTTAAAACTTCTGGAAAGTGCCAGGTTGAGGAAAAGGACAATCGGCCAATCGACTGATTCAGCATAAAGCAGAATCTTGTGAACAGCCACGTGTCTGAGCCAAATAGTTTTGCTGATGGAAAGTAATAATTCTTACTTGAACAGCTCCCTGTTCTTGAACCCAAGAGAATGGGGATGGAAAACTTGGGTAACTCATTTGTTCCAGGCTTTTAAAAATATAAACAGCCGTTATGAATTATGAGGCATTTTAAAGAAGGCATGAAACCAAAGTGCTTTATCTTTTTGATAAGCATGCACTCCTCTAAGTTCACTAAGAAACAATATGGATTTTTTAAAAAGTGGAAACTGCTAAACTAAGCCTCATGAAGAAATGCAACTACCTCAAACAGTGTCCGTTCATTCAGACTGTTAAAGTCAAAGCACTTTTAAATGGAAAGGCAAGACTAACAATGCTTAATAGCTTAAGGAAACAAGTAGATAAAGTCTCTGTGAGTTGAGTTGAACTCTTAGTGACCTTTTGGACAGTCCATGTAGTTTTATTGGCAAAGAATAGAAGAGGTTTTCCATCCATAGCCTTCTCAGATTTTTGTTTTAATCTTCTAACCCACATTTGTTGTTTAGTGGCCTGGCTGGGGAGTGGGGAGAGGGGAACCAGGCCCGTGCAAGTGGTGGGATGGTGCATATGAGCAGCTCAACTTATGCAAATGGCGGGCCGGTGCGCACATACATGCAAATGCAGCTCAACTGCAAGTTGAGCATGCGTGCTGGCCTACCGCTCACAGGAGTTGAGCTGCACGCACAAATGCCAGCCTGCCTTTCATGCGGCCCGGTTCTGAATAGGCCACGACCTGGTAGTGGGTTGCGGTCTGGAGTTTGGGGACCCCTGATCTAACCGACAGCCTTGGGATTCTCCCATCCAAACACCGACCAGGTTCTGAGAAGTTCCAAAGAAGGTCACCATTTTGGGGGGCGGGAAAACGAATTGCCAGCTCTTCAATGCTAGTAGTGATCAGAGTGTTTTTCTGTGGGTGATGTTTCAAAAGGAGGGAGCCACTGCTGAAAGGTTTCCATCAACCTGCTAATGAACAGAAATGCCTATTTAAAAAGCTCCCAAAAGGAACAATTCCATTGGGCAGAGAAAGTGATATGGAAGAGCTGGTCCAACCAGTATTTGGGTCTGAAGCAGTTGTGGGATTCAAATTGTTTTACCACCGGTTCGGTGGGTGTGGCTTGGTGGCCGTACTTCGCTTAACGCTGGCGCGTAGCTTTCCCCACATCAGCTGAGGCCTGTAGCGCCAATCATCTGAGAGGATAAAGAAGAGAAAAACGCAGGGGCAGGTGGGAGGGATGATCCTGCACTTTTCCCTTCCTTCTCCTCTCAGTTGATTGTCAGAGGATTTTTTTTCCCCTCCTCTCAGCTGATCATGGGAGGCTTTCTTTACTACCGGTTCAGCTAAATTGGTCCAAACTGGTAGCATACCACCATTGGTCTTAAGTATTTGGGTCTAAAGTAGGGTGCCAAAAAAAAAAAGACAGGGGCCTTAGAATTCATTGTGATCATTATTAGAACAGTTTCATTTCAGTACAAATTAAATTTTATCTCTTGGCCCCAGCATGGACAGCAGAGGTGATATTCAGCAGGTTCTGACCGGTTCTGGAGAACCGGTAGCAGAAATTTTGAATACTTCGGAGAACCGGCAAATACCACCTCTGACTAGCTCCACCCCCATCTATTCTCTGCCTCCCGAATCCCAGCTGATCGGCTGGGTCTTCTTTTGCTGCCCTGCACAGGAGAACAGAGCTAGAAAGCAGGTTAGTGGGGTGGGGAGGGAATGGAGATTTTGTAGTATCCTTCCCCTACCATGCCCACCAAGCCAGGACCTCAGAACCAGTGGTAAAAAATTTTGAATCCCACCACTGATGGAGAGACCTATACAGTCCCTCCATTCTTATTCATGAAATTCAAAGCAAGGATTTCTTGCCCAATAAAGGAGCCCTTCAAAACCATCCCTCAAGCTAAACACTTCAGGGCATGACTTCAGAGGGTGAACCCTAACCCTCCAGAACAAGAAAGCCAAACAGCTAAAGTCTGTTTGACTTGGCATTTTCTGAAAAGGAAAAAAAAAAAAGTCTGCTGCAGTTCATTTCTGCTTGAGCTGTGAATGTTTCTAAAATAAGACACCAAGTTTAAACCACAAGATCAGTGTCAAATGATATAATTTAAGTTTGTTTTGGAAAGTGTGAGGCCCCGGTATCTTTTTCGGTAATGGACTTACCTGATGGGCCTGACAATATCCCTGAAATGGTGACATTCGATGGAAAGCAGAGCCTTTTTTGAGCTTTTTCCAGGGCTGCAGTGTGCAAACCTGAAGTAATGCCTCCTGGGAACTGTTTAAATAAGTTTCGGCCACAAATGCAAAGTCATCAATTTGCAGCAGTGATTGTTGCATGAGCCTTAAAAAAGTTTCAGACAGGCTGCTTTCTTTGAAAACAAATGAAAGAAAGAAAGAAAGACGTTGCCTTGTATTTCTTTGTGGTTTCAAAGCTGGGTCTCTGCCAGAAATCTCCCCCCCCCCCACTCCACGCCCTGGATGACATATATATAGGTTGGGTTCAGACAATGAATGACAGCATCACTACGTTTCAGTAGCTACTATAGCTTATAAATCTAGAAATCAGTCTGGTGTAAAGGCCACCTTCCACTGGAAATCCTGGGCTACTTTAAATGCCAAACTCCTGTGTTTCTGAAGCCAAAGCTAGAGGACTGTATGTATAGATGTGCCAATATGTTTTGCCACAGAGAGGATTCGAACCCATTAAATAGTTTGCAGAGCTGTTTGCCAGGGTAAATTTCAGCATCATCCAGAAAGCACAACATTTGCTTGAAATTTTACAGCTACATTCATGGTTGAAAATGTGCAGATTTCCAGTAAGACCAGCAGAGATTGGGAAAAATATCTGATTCCCACAAGTTGTTTCTTTCCAGGCTGGTATTTTATTGTTTTTATATTTTTGCCTGATAAGCAAATGTTTTGTGGAATGCTTGAGGAACTGGTGACAGTATGCTATCTCTATTTTTAAACTGTAACAGGAAACAGGTCAGATTCCTTATAAAACTAACTTCTGATAAGATTAAGGCAGAGACCTGCAGTGGTGGATCTACAAAGAGTCTAAGAGGAGGCCATTCTTGGTCTCTGGAGTCACAGGATCTCTCCATCACAATTGACCAGATATCCAGCACATAAATACTTCTTGTAGCCTTAGGATAAAATCTGAGGCCTTTTCCTGAAAAGTATCCTCCTGGAGGAAACTGGAGGAAAGGGAGAACACACACACACACATATATATAATGAAAATGCCATAATTTTCCAGGAGACCATATATCCAGCCTCCCACAGATTGTCCTGTGGGAAAGAGGAATAAGTGAGAACTCGGGAATATCTGAATGTTCCAGTTATGTGCCAGTCACCACTAAGCAGACTCACCATTGGTATGGTTCTCAAAGATAAGCTTGTCGTTGCATTCCTGCTCTTTCACACAGCCACAGATGTAAAAAACGCCATCTGCATTCTGCTGCCGGACCATGACACACTGTGACGTGTTATATCTTGATATCATGATATTTCCCACTGGCAGCTCTGGGTTGTGGCAGAAAGTGTTTACTTTTATACTTGCATTGACTTGTTTCCTGAAGTGACAAAAAAGATACAGATATTAATGTACGGATATTAATACTGTCTGATATTTTGCTTTCCATTTTTGTCATTCATTTTTTTAGAGCAGAAGACCTGGGTCACACCTCACACTAAGCTATATTTTTCTTAACCACAGTTTCTTAAATAAAACATAATTGACTGAGATTACCATCAGGCTAAACTGTAAATTAAACATACCATATTATGATTTAGGATGAGGAATGATCCCACTCCAAACATATTTTTATTGTTCAGAAAAACTTTCAGCCAATGAGAAGATAATTACAGTGTTAATAGGTGATTGCATTACAAATATTATCACTGATCTCTCTCTCTCTCTCTCTCTCTCTCCCCTCTCTCTCTCTTTCTCTTAGAGAGGCACACAGATTTTATCTGTGATGATTGAATGTAGGTTATGCAAAATGATGTCCTTTTGTTTCCATGAACTGCTCCATTTTGGCAAATGCATCCAGTGCAAGATTCCATTAAATCAAATACCAGAGAAAAAAGGGCTACATAGCAACCTAAACAATAGACAATTATTTTAGGCTGTTGTTCTTTGGGAATTTTTTTTAAATGTTTGCTTACCATAGAGAAACACATATTTCTTCTGGTTTTTCACAATAGGAGCTAAAATTACAGTTGGTGTAGCACACCTGATTTTCACAGGTGGGGTAGGTATTGTCACACCACTTGCAGACATTGCTGTTCACATTCCTTCCTGCTTGGCTGGGGTATGCTGTGAATATAAAAGTGAACAAAAAAAATTCAGCATCAGCATGAAAATGTTTCTGAGCCTTACTTGACCATGTGAGCCGTGGTATGCTTTTCAACATGGTCTTCCATCAACTATGAATGGTTAAAGAAGGGCCTAAGGTGATGTACCTTAGTAGGAGAAAAAGATGTATTATCTAAAAATTGACAGGTCTGAGTAATTTGGAAGAACTTGTTTGGCATTGTGATCGTAAGCCTTGCAGAAACCTAATATATCCATTTTGCCTTCCTAAATCCCAACAAATGTCAAATAAGAGCAGAAATATTTGGCCCAATCAATACACCCAAGTGCAAAGGGTTGATTGCACCAAGAGTGCTTTTGAGCTACACCTAATTTAGTTCAGTTTAGTTTACTTTATTGTCATTGCACCTCGTACAACGAAATCAAGCACCATCTTCAGTGCACATCATGACCATGAGCATGAAAAGAAACACAAACACACATCCTTCACCCTTCACACATTGAACCGGAAACCCCCAACACCACACCAACACTGCACTATACAGCAGAATTCAAAAGAGCTACTGCCCTGGGATAGAAGCTGTTTTTCAGCCCATTTGTCCTTTTATTATTCTGTACCATCTGCCAGATGGTAATAGTTGAGAAAAAGGGTTCCCAGGATGAGATGGATCTTTGAGAATGTTTTGAACTTTCTTAAGGCAGTGGGAGCTATAAAGCTCTTCCAAAGAGGGAAGAGGGCAACCAATGATCTTCTGGACAATGACATTAACCCTCTGGAGTGCTTTCCTATCTGCCACTGTGCAATTGGCAAACCATACAGAAGTGCAGTATGTTAAAATGCTCTCTATGGTGCAGCGGTAGAAGGTCACCAGCAGTTTTTCATTCAGTTGTTGTTTTCTGAGAAGTCTCAGGTAGTATAATCTCTGCTGGGCCCTTTTGACCAGGGCTGCAATGTGAGCACCCCAGATCAGGTCCTCTTTTAGGGTAATATCCAGAAACTTAAAACTGGTCACTTGCTCCACTCGGTCTCCATTGATAAGCAAGGGCTGGATGTCTGATCTGTTCCTTCTATAATCCACCATAAGCTCCTTGGTCTTATTGGTGTTGAGGACCAAGTCTCCATACCACGAAAGCAACTGGTCCACCTCATCTCAGTAGGCAGACTCATTACCCCTGGAGATAAGTCCCACCACTGTTGTATCATCTGCAAATTTAGCAATAGTATTACGAATGTGAGTGGGAATGCAGTCATGCACATAAAGAGTATAGAGTAAGGGACTCAACACGCAACCCTGTGGTGTACCAGTGTTAAGTATAAGGGCTGAAGAGGTATGATTACCTAATCTGACCCTCTATGAGCAGCCAGACAGGAAATCCATAATCCAAAAGCAGATTGAATTAGAAAGCCCAAGGTTCAGAAGTTGAGACACTAGTCTATGTGGAAGAATTGTGTTAAACGCAGAACTAAAATCCACAAAAAAGCATCCTCACATAGCCCTCTCGCTGTTCTAGATGAATCAGAGCAGTGTGAAGAGTGATGGCTATAGCGTCCTCTGTAGATCTACTTTTTCTGTATGCAAACTGGTGTTTATGCGGAAGACCAGAAATGATGTGCCGGCAGACCAATTTCTCAAAGCACTTCATGATGATAGGAGTGAGTGCCACTGCTCTGTAATCGTTGAGGTTATTGATAAGGAACTTCTTTGGCAATGGAACAATGGTGGAAGCCTTCAAACAAGATGGAATAGTAGACTGGGATAAAGACCGATTGAAGATCCTGGTAAAGACTCCAGCCAACTGATCAGCACAGTCTTTAAGCACTCGGCTAGAGATACCTTCAGGACCGGCAGCGTCCACAGCCCTCAGAATGCTCCTCACCTCCTGTTCCTCCACAATGAGGTGGGGGCTACAATTGGCTGGTAGTTGTGTTTTATCGGTCTCTGATGTCTCCACTTCAAAGCGAGCAAAGAAATGATTCAGTTCCTCTGCCAATGAAGCATCCCCCTCAGCAGGGATGACATTGGTCGGTTGATGGTTTGTAATTTGTTGAATCCCTCACCACACCTGCCTCATGTTATTGCTATAAAATTATCCTCAATCTTCCTCTTATAGTCAGTCTTGGCCTTCCGAATACCTTTCTTCAGATTAGCTCTGGCAACATTGTATCTTGCCCCATCACCGGACCTAAAGGCCTTGGTCCTGTCATGCAAGAGGCGCTGGATTTCCTTGGTCATCCAGGGTTTCTGATTGGGATAGATCCTAATACATTTAGCCACAGTGATAGTATCTGTGCAGTGTTTGATACAGCACAGAACAGTTGCAGTGTGTACCTCTAGGTCAGGGTGGTAAAAGATGTCCCAATTGGTGTTCTCAAAACAATCCTGAAGTTGTTGGGAAGCATCTTCTGGTCAAGATTTCACTGTATTATAGGCAGAGCCCATCTCCTAAGAGGGATGTAAGCTGGTGCTAAAAGCAGTGACATATGGTCTGATTGTCCTAAATGTGGTAGTTGTATAACCTTATAGCCATGTTTGATGTTGGTATATACTTTGTCCAATATGTTTGCTCCTCTTGTAGCATACTTAACATGCTGATAGAATTTAGGGAGCACTTCTTTTAAATCAGCTTGATTAAAGTCCCCCGCTATGATATGCACAGCATCAGGATACTTATTCTGCTGATTACTAACAATGTTATACAAGAATCCCAAAGCTATGGTAGTATTGGCATCAGGTGGGATATAGACTGCAGTAATCAAAACCATGCTGAATTCCCATGGAAGATATATGGGTCTACATTTAAGTGTCATATACTCCAGATCCATGGAGCAGTGGCTGTCTACAGTCTTTGTATTGATACACCAGCTTTTGTTCACATAAAGGCTTAAACCTCCCCATTTGATCTTGCCAGAATCTCTACTCCTGTCCTGCCAGTGAGCTATGTAGCCTTCCAGCTCAACAGCTGCATCTGGAATGAGTGAATGAAGCCAAGTTTCTGTGATTAGCAAAACACAGCAGTTCTTGATGAATTTAGTCTTTGCAATCTATAGCCTTAATTCATCCATTTTGTTAGTCAGAGATCTTGCATTGGTAACAAATATACTTGGAATTGAAGGCTTGTGTCGAAACTTACTCAGCCTAAATAAAACCCCAGCACAGCATCCTCTCTTCCTCTTCCTGTTCTTCTTTCTCCGCCTCTTCCTCCTTCCTACAGGGATAGTGATCTATGGCTCCCCCAGGGGCCTAGCTACCTCCTTTGGTATGTTATAAGCAGGGGTGGGATTCAAATTTTTTAACAACTGGTTCTGTGGGCATGGCTTAGTTGGTGAGCATGGCTTGGTGGTCCTGTGACTGGCTGGGTGTGGCCAACTCAACATCACTCCCATCGAGGCACGCATCTCCTCGCCTGGCTTCTCATGACTGTGGGGATGCTGCAACAGTCATAAATGTGAACAAATGGTCATAAGTCACTTTTTTCAGTGCCATTGTAACTTTGAATGGTCACTCAACACAAGTAAAGTACCAGCAAAGAAGGGGAAAAAAACTCCAGAGACGTTCCTGAGACAGGAAATCTAGTCCTGCCAAGAATGTAATAAGAGTTAACGGAGAGGCAGTTTCTGTAAGCAACATCAGAATGTTTCCTTCCTGCCTTCCTTACAGGATTAGGTCAGTAATTTCTTCTAATAACAGTTCTCCGAACTGCTTAGAATGTTAACAACTGGTTCTAGCGAATAGGTGCGAACCTGTAGAATCCTACCCCTGGTTATGAGAATGTATAAAATCATCCGTAATAGCCTTTTAACATTTCAGTCCAATTTGTGACAAGGCTTGCTGACTATAGATGCTCCTTGCCCCACAGGATTCAATCAAGGAAAGGATCTAAAACACACAGAATCATATACACCATACACTGAAAGAAGGAACGGCTAGCCGCAGCATCCATGTCCACAGCCATCTTGAAATTTATTTAATTCACACTGTTCTTGTGCTGTATCCCGAACCTTCTATAATTCTGTTCACCCAGACATGGCTTCTGGGAGAAGCACAATTTTGCATGCAGGGTTGGGGTTCTACCGGTTCTGTCCACTTCTATAGAACCGGTTGCTCTGAAGAGCAGCAAACAGAGAGCATACATAGAACTGGTTCTATGTTTGCTGCTGTTTTGGCCCACCCACCCGCCTGGGCTCTTACCTGACCTTTATTTCCTGCGTTTTCAACCGCAGCTGCTTTGCGCAACACAGCTGCAGTTGAAAAAGCAGGAAAAAGGGGCTTTTCCAACCGCTGTGCACTCACACACAGCGCTACTCAGCTGTCCGGGCAGCTCAGCAATACAGAGCAACCGGTAGTTGTACCAGTCGGATCCCATCCCTGTTTGCATGATACACTGAAATATAAACAACCTGTAGGAGCTTTTACAACATGCTAGAAGGTTAAGCGGGCTGTCAGTTCACATTCCTCATATAATGAATTATTCACAGTGAGCAAAGAATTCAGATGAGGTGGCCATGCACTGTCGTATGGATAAATCATCTATTTGAATTCATCAATCCAAGTGATTACACATTAACTGCATTCACATATTGTTCTAAGCCATCACCTATCTAATAATGATTTATATACAACACTACATTTGACTAGATTTGCATTACATGCTAAATCATAAATACAGCTTTACAGCTTTTTAGGCGTTATGGCTGGTTTCACATGATATACCAAATCACACAATTAAACAAATCACTCTTAAGTTAAACCAATTTGTTAATTTAGTCACATATACTGTATAAATGGAGAAGGAGGCTGTATTTGTCTGTGGAAATACACACTGAACTTATTGAAATAGGTTGAGGGGTCATTGCAATTCAACATGTATGAAGAGTACCAATTACTGCCTGAAGGTAACACCTAACAAGACTTTTAGGCTTTGTTCACAGCACATCATTAACCAAATTGCCAGTAACCCAGACTGGGCTTTGACCACGCAGTCACAACCAACATCTTGACTCC